GCTCACAACCTATCAAACAGGCCAAAAGGAATTCCGCTTGTGCTCTGAATGTGGCTAATTGGCGTACATACGCAACATGTTTGAACGGGCTGGATGGCTTAATGCGCCACCTCAAGTCTTACTGACCGCATTAGGCCGCCTACAAGCCGACCACTATACGGGAGACAGCCGCGTCCCTGAATTTTTAGCCAAGTGTTTTCAAAGATACCCGAAAATGAAAAAGGCATTCAGCTCCCGAGGCGAGTCGAAGGACTATCTATTCGAGGCAGAATACGAGCATGCCAGCAATGATTCCGTGTGCGATCAATGCGATCGTGCTAGGCATGTGCAACGAGACGCCAGGGACGACACCGATCCGGTGGTACATTACGGCAACATAGCATCGGGTAATTTGGTCATCAAGAATGCCCAGACACGGGACCAGCTGAGCAGGGACCTCGGGGTGCTCTGCTTCGAGATGGAGGCAGCCGGGCTAATGCAGGACTTCCCATGCCTGGTGATCCGGGGCATTTGCGACTATGCTGATACGCACAAGAACGAAGAGTGGCAAGGGTATGCGGCCGCGGTGGCTGCGGCATTTGCAAAGGAGCTTCTTTCGGTTATACCGCCTGAGCGCGTTCTCCAGGAGAAAGCCATCCCTCAGCTAGTCTCGGGTGAGTAGTACAATTCTGACTAAAGATAGTGCATGGATGTTTAGCAAAGACTATATGGTACTACAGATCCTTTCGCTAATTGTTCGAAATAGATCCCGTGCTCCAAGACCTGATGTCTGCCACCAAGAAAGCGATCTCAAACACACAATAAAACAAGAGGCTAGATACGAGAATGACAGACACGTGGCATGCCATCAAGCCTTCAAAACATCTCGTTATGAAGACTTTAAGAACATCAATCCTGATCGTGTCCCTGGCACATGCAAGTGGGTTCTAGGGCATCCACAGTACCAGAAATGGCGAGGGAGCTCACATGACGACCTTCTCTGGATCTCGGCGGATCCTGGCTGCGGCAAGTCGGTGTTAGCGAAGGCTTTTATCGACGAGGAGCTCGATAACGCAGGCGATCACACGGTCTGCTACTTTTTCTTCCAAGGACAATGACGAGCAAGACAGTCTATCCCCGGCGCTGTGCGCCGTCCTCCACCAGCTCTTTGGTCGGTTGCCCCACCTCCTACAACACGCGATAAGTTCACTTGAGAAGAACGGCCTGAAGCTCCAGAGTGAGGTTGGCGAGCTGTGGCGCATCTTTCTGGCCGCCGCCACGGACGAGTCTGCGAATGCCGTAACTTGTGTGCTAGATGCCCTGGACGAATGTCGAGGAGAGGATCGCTGAAAGCTTCTCCGGCTGTTAACAGACTTTTATTGCCGGTGCCCGTCAGCTTCAAGAGGAAGCTCCCAGCTCAAGTTTCTCGTTACAAGCCGCCCGTACCAGGACATCGAGATTAGCTTCGATCATATTCCGTCTGAGCTCCCATCAAATCGGTTGGCAGGCGAAGAGAGCAACGCAGATATTAGCGAGGAAATCAATCTCGTGATTCGACAAAGGATAGCAAGAGCTGGTATTAAGCTTCATCCCGACCAAGATGTGCGCGATACGCTACAAGCGAAACTACTAGCGACGCAAAATCGGACCTACCTTTGGTTGCACCTTATGTGGGATGAGCTTGAACGGAGCCGCAAGCGTACTAAGAAAGCCTTCTTGAAAATGATCGATTCTCTCCCTTCGACAGTGGAGGACGCCTATGAGAAGATCTTAGCCAGGAATGGCCGAGTCGACCAGAAAGAGGCGAAAGTCCTGCTGCATATTGTTCTTGGGACTCGACGACCGCTCACAGTCCGGGAAATGGATGTGGCATTCCAGCTAGCCGTGGAATCGCCAAATGCCCTACAACATCAGGATCTCGATCTCGATGGCGACCAGTTAAGGACGCGCATCCGACAGCTCTGTGGGCTCTTTATCTTTATTAACGATAATCGAATCTACTTAATACATCAAACGGCAAAAGAAATACTAGTTACGAAGGACGCTTTAGACGTATCTGTTAATAGATCTTGGAAAAGATCTATCTCAGTGCGGCAGTCAAACAAGATTATGGCGGAAGTCTGTATCCAATACTTATCGTTTCAAGATATACAAGACAAGGAACTTAAGAGAGAGAATACCGACATTTTCTTCTACGACTACCCGCTTCTGGAATATTCTTCGGTGAACTGGCCGGCACACTATCGCGATATGGGCGAGGCTGATGAGGACTTGTTCGATCGCCTATACAATCTGTACGATACGGAGACCATACGGTTTAAAATTTGGGTGTCTATATTCTGGTACTCTACCAATGTGTACAGGGAACTAAAGGGCCAAGGAGCTCTGCACTTGGCTGTGTGGAACGGACACGACCAGGTGATATCGAGATTGTTGCGGGGAAGCCAAATTAAGGTCGACATTCAAGACGAGCAAGGCATGACACCTCTTCAATGTGCAGCTGAGGGGGGGCATAGCGAGACTGTCAAGCTGCTCTTGGAAGGAGGAGCCAGCCCTTCCCTAAAAGATAAGGATGGCTTAGTGCCGATACACTTGGCAGCGCAGAATGGCCACGTGGAGGTGATCCAGCTCCTTCTTGAAGACCAGGCCAGTATCCGAGCGTTCTCAAATGGTACGTGTTCGCACACAAGCCAGAAAGAACAAGAGGTAGTCGCAAACGTCCTTGATGCCTCGTTCAGGACGCCATTACATCATTCCATCCTACACGAGCAAGCCGGATGCGTTAAAATATTACTCGAGTACGGTGCAAAGCTTATGGGCGACATCAATAATATGACTCCCCTTCACTACACAATATCAAGGACGAGCGAGGCAATGGCACTATGCCTTGTGGCTGCGGGTGTCCCAATTGACATCAGGGTGAAGAGGCGCACCTGGCGGCAAGAATTCCAGGGGGGGAAATTGCAGCACACGTTGAGTAATGACGATGTCCACGACTTTACGTCGGAGAGGGCCAGCGAAGGACTTACCGCACTATATTACGCGGCTCTGATAGGATGCCGGCGAATGACAAGGTTTTTACTCGATCACGGCGCCGACTCCAACGCTGTCTCGGAAAACGGCGAGACACCTCTCCATATGGCACTCAAACGAGATGTGAACGGTTTGTCATGGCCTAATTTTATAGATCACTGGAGTGATCCTATTCACAGGATCGAGGGAATCCTTGATACCATTGGTTATGGGCCCGATGATTTCACACAATACTCCGATCTTGAGGAGACCATTGAAGAGAACAGGTCAGATGTTGTCGGCCTGCTATTAGATCATGCATCTACCAACGTCAGCTTGGAAGATATTCACGGTGCTTCAACACTCCATAACGTATTCTACGACAGCAGCACCGCTTCACAAATTGTCAGCCGGCTAATCAAGAAGGGAGCCGACGTCTCTGCACGCAATCAGCATGGTCAGACTCCACTACACTTGGCTTGCTTCAAAGGAAACGAACAGTCGGTGGTGACGATGTTGAATTACGATGCGGATATCACAATCAGCGACACTGAAGGCCTTAATGCCCTGCATTACGCTGCGCAACGTGGCGACAAAGATATCATCGAGCATCTTCTAGCACGCGCGAACGAATCTTCGCTTAGTGGCTTCATTACTTCGCAAGACAGACGCGGACGAAATGCGCTGCATCATCTGCTCAAAAATCCCGGTGTTGTTGACTGTGCAGTCGTTCAATTTCTCATAGACAACGGTATCAATCTCAACGATCTCGACGAAGTCGGAATGTCCCCGTTATCTCTCTATCTAGACGAGGATTTTGTGCTACTTCAGGATGCACCGCCAGTGGTTCGATTGACTCTCCAGAGAGGTTCAGATCCCTCGTTCAGAACCCGGGAAGGAGGACTGGGTCTGGCTCACTTGCACGCCAACTCCTACGGGATTAACTTGGAGATTCTAAGGGCGTTAGCAGCTGGGGGTGTGGATCTTGAAGCGGAAGATGGCGAAGGGCGTACCGTTCTGCACTACTGCGCCATCTCTGGTTCCCTCACTGCAGAGGCTTTCCAATTCTTGTGTGATGAAGCAGGTTTGGCAAAGGAGTCTGTGGATGACTATGGTAAATCGCCGCAAGAATATGCAGCTGAGATGAGGAAGAAGGAGCGCCATCCCCATGTTTTTGACCCAGATCGTTGGTCTCGAACCGAGAATATACTTCTTGGATTGGGCTGATGCGATCAGGGAAAAGACTTGTAGGTAACGTTCGAATAAGCCCCCGCTCATACCATCCGATATCTAGGGAAGCCGCGTATTACTATGGCCAGTCGCTACTTTCCAGACACGAGTCTCAGACCAAGAGTCGGCCATTACAGAGTTTTTACTATGCCACATCAGTTAATCTATCAGTAATGGAAAATGAGCTCTACTCTGGATCAAAGTCGATATGAACTACTAGCCTAGATAGTTGCCATGCTACGCGACGCTCGAGGATCACGACGGCTGGGTTATCTCCGTGGCATTCTCGCCCAACTAGGACCGGTTTGCGAGCCTGGTCGAGCAACCGCTGCGGCCTGTGCGATATGGCCAGTATGAATAGTTTATTCTACTGCCGCAGTTTTGTTCATTTTGTACGTGCTTGTGCTCATTGGATTGTACATGCTGGTGTTGTCTGCGCGGCGTGTGCTGGTTTTTTTATTACTGCTAGCCGCTGCTTTGCGCCGCAGGCCTGGCCTGAAGCAGCCCTCTTACCAGGCAAACCCAAAAGCAGCTGACAAGACGATGGATGGGGATCACCTGGTGAAGAATAGCTCGGGATGCCTGCACTCGAAGTTGCCTGCGTCATATAAGCGTGCGAGGCTCTGCAGCTAGCTTGCACAAAGTAAGTGCTTGATCAGAGATGAATGCCTGGGCCAGCACAGGGCTCGCCGACACGGTTTTCTTACTTCCTTCCTCTCTTAAAGCGGAGAACAGTCCCATTATCTTCCCGGACTGAGGACCACTTCTTGCTTTTCCTTGCTCGTATTACCGTCGTCGTGGTTGCAAGGAAGTGCGGTTGCATCCCTCAGACGAACCTTCCCGTCTTTTGTAACGAACAAGATTGTGATCGGTCTGGAAATGCCAAGTATTGTCGACCGTGGGGTGACCGAAGCAAGGGACTAGGATTTCTTTCTGCAGACACGCGCCGCCCTTCGAGGGACAGCACGTCCGTGCCACTATTATATTGTGCACGATGAGGTCCTCCGTCATGCTTACGCACAGTCGATCTCAATGCCCTTCCAAAGCATCGCTGATGTGGTTGAGGATCTAACTAACAATATGTGATGTTCCTGAATCCTGACATGGTTGTCCCGAGCTGTCCTGGATGTGGACGTGACACTGGGTACCGACATGGAGTCGCCGCTCAAACAAAGGTGACATGCGAAACAGTTTTTCCATTTCATGGAGCAATATACTTGACTGAATTGTAATCTTGGAAAGACGAAGTAAAACAGCTCATGAACCGGCAGAAGAGAACGTTTAACAAGGCTCGGTGCTCTGATTCCGGCCGGGCTCACCCTTGCCCACTCCAGACGGGCCTAGCGTGGTTTAGGGTAGTCATTCCGTCCACTGCCTGAGGACGCGTCACCAAGGTTCAGGATAGCTTCATCATCGCACAACAGTCCACAATCTCACCAAAAAAAGCATCTCCCATCAAAACCAAAGCTCCAGAACCTCAACATGCCGTGGCGAGATCACGTCAAGCAACTCAAAGATGGCTTCAACTCCCTCGCCAAGGAGGTGCAGACCGGCATAAACGAGCGATCAGGCTCGTCACAGCCTCCACAGCAGCAATACCACGCCAACCATCAATATCCCCCGCAACCACCGGCCCCTGCCGGCGCCTCGGCATACTGGCGACCTCGCTTCCAGCAGGACATACCCGTCACGGTAGAGTGGGACGCGAAGCTGGGCAACGGTCCTGACGGTTGGGGCAACCAGGAGCTGCAGCATTACACGGCGCTGCCCGAAAACACGTTTCAGTGAGTGGCCTGACTCCCTTTTACCAGTCCAATACATACTGAATACCTATATAGCACGCAAAACGGCCTGCTCGTCCTGCGCGCCCTGGCCAACAGCCGTGCCCCCAACCCGGAGCAGAAGTACACCTCTGCGCGCCTCGTCAGCAGGGAGACCTTGAGCCGGGACCGTGGCGCCCTGACAGCCGTGATCCAGTCCCCCTGTGCGCGCGGCATCTGGCCTGCGTTCTGGCTTCTGCCCCAAGAACCCTTCTCCTGGCCGACAGACGGCGAGATCGATATCGCCGAGACCTGGAATGGCGACTGCGAAAACCACTCGTGTCTCCATTGGGGCCACCATCACGAACCTCAGAAGCATCGTGTCCTGGGCACAAAGATCCATGAAATGCCCAGACGTCCCGTGCGGTATGACCTGGTGTGGGATCAGCCTGGCGGACACCCAGGTCAGGGCCGACTGATTTGGTTCATCGATGGTCGGCCGGTGATGAAGGGGCATATCCCCGGGGGAACGCGCCCGATGCGGGATATGACGATCCTCCTCAACGTGGCCATGGGCGGCAACGTTTGCCAAGGGGTGACGCCTTCTGACGGGTACTACGATATGGTGGTGCACAGCCTCTACGCATCAGACGAGCCGGAGCTGGGTGGCTGGCATGGATTCGACCATGCGTGGGGGAATCCTGGAGTGCCAGAGGGTCATGGCTATTAGAGATTGGTACACCCAGGGATGAGGGATCTCCAGTCGTTGCTGGTGTTTGTTGTGTGGCGAGGGAGGGACTGATCCTGCAGGATCGCAATTTTCTTGACTCCAAAGTGAGAAATCTGCAGCCCAAATAATGGAAACTACCCGTAGCTGGGTTCCAAAACACATTGATCACGTCTTTTGCTTTGGGCTTGGACGAGCCGGCGGCCATGGCTGGCTCTTGTATTCTCGCTCGTGGCTACTCCGTCTTGAACAGGCCACCGCTCAAGCTCAAGGGGTTGCGTAATCCGTGATATAGTTGAGCCCAACTGCACTGATGAGGGGGGCCCGGGTGTCATTGTCGACTGTCTGTAGCGAGTGCCTTGACATCAGCCCTCCAGGCGCGTGATGTGACCCTATGCAGTGCCATTAGTGACTGTCTGAGACCGTGAAACTTGGTCGCCATGACCTGGTGCTTGTCGAAAGTATCTTTCTCATATCATCTTCTCCTGATGATCTCTTCACCATTGCAGGGAAAGCCACGAAATGGCCAATCTTAGGGCGCTACGTGCTGAAAACATCGCTGTGCGTTGACGCCCAGCGGTTGCCCTGCACTTGAGAATGTTGTCTTGAATATTTCCATGCCCTTGCACTCGGCTGGTGAGACAGCATAAAAACGGGTGGACATGAGACAGTTGTTTTTGATTTGCCATTTGCGTCGCGTGCCGCGTGGTCAGTCACCCCGCAACCTCTTGTTTTCTTTTCTTCCTTCTTGTCTTTACTCCTAATGGCCTCAGATACATGTTGCCAACTCGCTTAACACGTCTCGACGCTTCTACACATGGCAATCTTGCCGCTTGCTATAAGTCCCCATTTTTGTAACGCACATGTGGAAGCTGATGCTTCCTGGACTGTAGTCGTGATCCTAGCGCATGCAACACCGCCATTAACTCGACGTTTTCGCGTGTGGGGGGCAGGTATCCAACTGGATACCCCAGACATTGACGGATGCCTAACAAACCCCACATGTGCAGGTGGTATCGCTATCTCATCGGTTATGAGATCTTCCCGAGTTTCATCCACTTTCCGATGCTCGATCCGGGGTATCTGCCAGTGTTGACCATTCCACTAGTATTCACGAAGTGCTCAGCTAGACATTTTAAGCGGAGTGAATGTCTCGCTTCGCCAACTAAATGCAGCAAACCTATCTCGCTCACAGACGAGTGCGATCGCGGGCCAGCTTTACTTTCGCCACGTCTCAAAGACGCATGCGTCCTCGACATGGCATTGGAAGCGTCATCGCTACAACCAACATAACCACGACAACAGAAATGTGCTGCAATTATACGTAGACCGTAAAGCTGGATATGAAGCGGCTGTGGGGCAATCTTAGCAGGAATGGCGGGCGACTTAGATGATAGGCGCCATTTACATTTTCCCATGACTAGATCATTGTCGTTGGCACGGTTGGAATGAAATATATTGAGTTTGAAGTCTGAAAATTGTGTTTACAGCGCCCGCACTAACTACAGGACCGCTATGCCCGTCAAACATCCCATTTTAAGTGTCGGCTACCTTTGCAGGAGTAATAGTACTTTCCGAGCTCTCCGTTGTTCACGATCTAACTCGTAGTAACCTTGTGACAGCGCGCTCGCATTCATCCCCTAGGGTAGGTAAGTGTCGTGGTGCGGATATCGTCGCGCCCAGCTCCGGCCCGGCCGTCTTTACGTGTTTTCCCCAGATGCGGGGATTGGACCGTGCGCTGTCTAAATGCTGCACTCGGTACATTGATTGTTTTTTTGTTGCAACATTGAGGTGGTATAAACATGCTTCCGCAACGTGACGGAGAAACTCCTGTCCCTGTGCTTTCATGTCGCTCTCTCACACTGTAGAAATCTGGTTGGGGTCTCCTGCAATCGGTCCAAGGCTACTCCGTACCTACCATTGGAGCAGACAGAAGGATACGTCTGGCCAGTGGCGATCTGTGATATTGGAGAACGACGAAATTTCCTCATATGCACGTGAACACTGAGTACGTCGCTATCTCGGCACAGTGTGCATCGTGAGCAACACTCCATGCTGGCAGAATCCGCCGAACCCCACGACGCTAAGCGGGGAGCCTCCAGTCTAGGCAACACTCTCATCAACAGACGCTAGCTGTCGTATGGCCGCACAGAATGGTTCTGGAAGACGTTGGTGTCCATGCTACGGGTACGCTATTGAGAATTGGACCCTCGGCAAGTAGTCAGGCGAGGAGAAAGACGCGGTAAGCAACGTGCAAGCGACCAAGAATCTCCGCGTGCTCCATGTCTTTCCTTCGCTTTTGACGTCTGCCTGGGCTCTGGCGGCCATACGGATCCACAAGGCCATCGGCGGGACAGGCAGTCAATTTAAGAACCAACGGGAGGGCGAGGAAGTTATGGTCGAGCGAGCAGGCAGCCGCCAAGGCGCCCATGATTAAATGGATGCTCGGTGGTGCCCACTGCAGAAAAGGCTGGCTGCAAGGAGTGGCCTGTTGCTCATGCGCCAATCCTAGGCAACAGGATTCTGAACCCAGCGATTTGGCAAACCTCCAGTCTCCCCCAAGAGCAGGAGAAGGAGCCACATGGTTTTGTGGTGCAAACGCAAAATAAAATTCCGGGTCTCACAGTCGATGACTGTTGGATTGGACATGGATCAACATGGGGTATCTCGATAGTGGCATGCTGGAGATTGCTCATGTGATGGCAAGCACAGCATTCCGAAGCGACGAGTTCATCCAAGAGGCTCAAATTGGAAACGGCAGTGAGGATGCGCAGAGCGGCACTGCAGTTGCGCCACTGACGACGTTATGCGCCGGAAACATGAACGGGAGCACAGGGATGATCAGCACAGCACGGCTGCCGGCGCCCCCTCATTGGCCTGGTGTGAGGCGGGTGAGCTTGAGTGCTGCCTTCCAGCAGCCAAACCCGCTGGTGGCTGCTGCTTTCAGCGGGTGTCTTGGCCTGTCTTCGGCCCGGAGGGGAGCAAATGCACTGGAACCGGAGAAGAGACGGGAGATGGGGGCTTGGCTTGGGGGAGAGTTCTCTTGGTCTTGGGGCCCCAAGGGCAATTGCTCGATCCACTAGACCTTCTAGTCCGCCAAGATCCGAATGCGGACAGCGAAATGGACATCCTGGGCCAATCAGAGGAGCCCAAAGTCTGGTGCCTTCCCGAGACCACTGAGTTGATTCATCCGCGGACAACATCAACCAGCAGCACCACCACTAGCAGCTACAGCGATAAGCGAAGCGCCCGTCCAAGAATGCTCCGGGATGATGATGGTGGTTGACGGGCCCTCGCATGCCACCGCCCTCTGAGGCAGCCCGCGTGTCGCTGGGAGCATCGTATTTTGCGGCCCTCGCACGCCCGTCCGGCACCATCTGAAACCTAAGATCGCCTCCCCATGAGCCATCACCGGTAACGGCCTCCCCTAGATTGTGGTTTACTCTGACCCCGGTCTAATTAGTCTTCACCCCTGGTCAGCCCACGATCCGTGGACCCACAAGCTCCTGGCTCTCGCTGGTAGCAGGATGGGTGGATGGCCACTTTACGCGTGCATGGCACTTTTCGGGCGTCTGGGGCAGGATGGAGGGATTCCCATCCGTCTGGGAAGAGACCTACTTAAACCTCCCACGTTGCACCCCGATCGACGTCCTTTGAACCACTCACCAGTCCTCTTCCCTCTGGCCAATTGTCCTACATCGCGCCTGCCTCCTCCCACTTCCACGCTCCTGCCCTCCAGGCTGAGTGAGAGAATCCCGGACAACCACCACCTTGAGTCACAAGAAAGCAAGTGAACAAACAACGTGTCACTTCCAACAACCGCTACCATGTCTAAAGACGGAGTCGCGGGCGTGGACCAGCCCACCCATGACGAGAAGGCTGTTATCCGCGAGGGTGACTCCTCCGACAATGTTGACAACGTCGTTGAGCCTACACAGCGCCGCAAGTCGGTGGGGGCCATGAACATTGTCGAGAACCCTCTCCAGGTGAGCACCCTGACCCAGATCTGAGACACCAAGCAGAGACTCACACAGCCACCGTAGCGCGTCTCCGCTGAGCAGGCTTCCCTGGATGCCCAGGCGTTCGCCCACAAGCATGGCCTCGAGGAGTATGCAGACGTCTTTGGCCGCGCTGCCATGATTGCCCGCGAGGATCCCGGACAGCATGGCGTCGTGTCCGGCCTGCTCGACGACGAGATGGCTGCGCTCGACTACGAGTGGGGACACAAGTGGCATGGCCCCAAGATGCTGTGGTACACCGTCGGGCTTTGCGCTGTCGGTGCTGCAACCCAGGGCTGGGATCAGACTGGTTCCAACGGCGCCAACTTGTCCTTCCCACAGGAATTTGGCCTCGACGAGATGGGTTCCCGCGGTGAGTGGATCATCGGCCTCATCAACGCCATCATCTTCTTGACCGCCGGTCTCATCGGCGCCTTCATTGTCGATCCTCTGAACCACTACCTCGGTCGACGTGGTGAGATTTTCGTCACCGGTGTCTGCCTCACCCTCACTCCCATCGGCTCTGGTCTCGCGCAGAGCTGGCAGGGTTTGTTTGCTGCCCGATTCGTCATGGGCATTGGTATCGGTGCCAAGAATGCCACCGTCCCCATCTTCTCCTCCGAGGTCGCCCCCGCCCGCGTGCGCGGTGCGCTCGTCATGTTCTGGCAGCTCTGGGTCACCGCCGGCATCTTCCTGGGTTTCTGCGCCAACGTCATTGTCAAGGATGTCCCCAAGATCGCCTGGCGCCTCGAGCTCGGTTCTGCCTTTATCCCATCGCTCGTTCTCTCCATTGGCGTGTTCTTCTGCCCTGAGTCCCCCCGCTGGCTCATGAAGCACGGCAAGATCGCCAAGGGTTTCCGCTCCATGAACAAGCTGCGTGCCCATCCAATCATCGCCGCCCGCGACTACTACTATTCGTTCGTCATCTACGAGGAGGAGAAGTTGACAGCTGCCGGCGCCGGCTACTTCCGCCGCATGTGGGACTGCTTCGCCATCCCCCGTATCAGGCGCTCCAACTACGGTGCCTCCACCGTCATGATTGCCCAGCAGATGTGCGGAATCAACATCATGTCCTTCTACAGCTCCACCATCTTCAGCGAGGCCGGCTACAGCCACAATCAGGCGCTATTCGCCTCCCTGGGCTACGGTGCTATCCAGGTCGTCTTTACCATCCCCACGCTGTTCCTCATCGACACAAAAGGTCGTCGCACGCTTTGTATGTGGACGTTCCCGGGCATGTGCATCTTCCTCCTGGCTGCCGGTCTCTCCCTTCTGAACAATGGCGATGACGCCTCGAGAGCTGCAAAGGTCGGCCCGGTCGTCTTGTTTGTCTACCTGTTCACCATCTGCTACTGCTTGGGCGAGGGACCTGTGGCCTTCCAGTACTCCGCCGAGGTCTTCCCCACTATCCAGCGTGAGCAGGGCATGGCCTGGGCTGTGGCCGTCAACAACACCTTTGCCGGTGTCCTGTCGCTCACCTTCCCGCGCATGCGCACTGTCATGACGCCCACTGGTGCCTTTGGTTTCTACGCCGGCCTCAACCTGGTTGCGTGGTTCATGATCTTCTGCTTCGTCCGTGAGACCAAGCAGCTCACTCTCGAGGAGCTGGACCGTAAGTAGCCCATGTCTATACCTTTTTGACCACTTACTAACATTCCTTCGTAGAGGTCTTCTCTGTCCCGACCAAGGACTTTCTCAGCAGCGAACTACAAAAGATCCCCTACGTCTTCAAGCGCCACGTTTTCCGCAAGAACATCCCTCCTCCCCCCTCCACGATTGACAGGGCCTCCCATACTGAAAAGATGGTAAGCTCGTAGAGGTTGCGCTACAGGAGGAGGGGAAAATACTGTTGATGGAGTTTTGGACAAGTCTTGCATGTTAGGAAAGCGAAGGGTCGCGCTTTCCGACTATGTACCGCTGCGCGGGACGAGGTTAGCCGTCTACGAGGGCTATAGCGGAGATCGTTGTTATATACCCAGTCCTATTCTTTTACACTTTGGAATTTAAGTCATGCAAGCCAAGTAGTACTTTTTCCCCGCCACGAGCTAGTACAATTCCCAGTAGAGATTCCAAATATTCGCGTAACAACAACAATAGTGCAGGGTCGAGAGCTACCTACCGCTCCACATAAGATAGCGGGAAAAGAAGTATCAAACAGGCCAAAAGGGAATTCCACTGTGCTCTGAATGTGGCTAATTGGCGTACATACGCAACAAGAAGCATCTCTAGGACCCGCATTATCTCCGCTTTTGATCAACTGACTTTAGCCAAATGAATACCTGCCCTCAAAGCGAGTAAGTAGTAGTGAATATTGTCGAAGATAACTTGGCCATACTTTACAAGCGAACATTTGGAATCTCTAGGGACTGTAGTTCATCTTCCATGATTGTGCTCCGCTAAATAGCAGTAGGATGTAGATATGGGGTTATTTGTTTATAGTGAAGTGTAATTACTAGTACTCTTTCCTCTCACGCGACGATACACGAGGGACAGTCTTTGGCCCTTGGGCATCTCTATTCCGAGCCGCCCTGAATCGTCGAAAAATTTAGTAGTAATGAATCTCGCACATCTTGTAGGCGTAGACGTTGAACACACCTGGGTACCCAATCCGACCACCCTCACACTGCTGTCGACCCCGGAAATTTCAGGATTGGTAATGGCATCTCGGCAAAAGCTCACCCCAATGCAATCAGCCGTGGCCTCAACCGTCTCCACGCCAATGTCAATCTCGGCCGAACAACCATTCCCACCGCCCTTGGGTTCGAATTCGACAGTGGAGATGTGCTTGCAGGCGGGGTTGAAGGTGTGCGCAAACATTTGCACGTCCTTGATACTGAATTGCCCTTGCAGGGATTCTGCAATGTTGGGGCCGTACATGAAGGTCATCATAACGGAACGGGCGTAGGGATCTCGGCCCGGAGCGTTTCTGCAATCCTCCTCAAGTGTGTCGACGTCCATAGTCTAGCGACTGGACAAGTGTTAGAAATTGATTTGCGTGAGAAACACCCGCGCAGAGGGATTCAAAATGTTTCAAAACTTACCGACCGATAGTTCCGGCATTAGTTAAGCCGAGGAGAAGAGCAGACGCGAGGGTGATGGCAATCTTCATGGTGATTGATGTCTTGGGTTGCGTGACTGGTGTTCGTTTGAAGGTTTGTGAGAGGTTTGTGGGAGTGGGAGTTTTGATTCCGTTGATGCTGCTGCTTTAAGACAGGAGGGAGTTTCTTCGCCTTTTATAGTCATTTCTTTCTCGGATGCCTAGATGACTTGAGAGCCTGGGTGACTTCAGTGAGCGTCATTTCTCGCCTCCTGACGACAACAGCTCTTGCTACCGCCATCATCATTTTCGATGAAAGGCGACAGTTCACGTAATAGGAGCTTCGGATCATCGCTCCAAGATCTGAGAGAGGAAGTCGCCTATAAGTCACTAACGTCACACTCCTATCAAAGACCACAATGCATATAGTGAGTCCAATGAGGCTATGAGCTTTGCGAAAGTTGGCCACTGTTGTGTTGGTGATGAGGCATCGATCGCCAAGATTATGAATCCTCGGAGCGCCAAGTCTGAGGCATGAGGTAAGGTAGAGGCCCCCAAGCGAACTTACAGCCAACTGCATAAAATTTAGGCCTTATGACCAAAGGAACTGTCTATCTATCCTTCCTTGATGCAATTACCTGCACAAACCGCGGGGTGGTGACGTTTGAGGGCAACTTTGGTTGCCTTCTGCTCTCGCAGTGGGCTATCCTCAGACTGTGATGAAAAGACAGGCGCCAAAGAAAAATAACCTTGCTTTCTCTTAGCCTTTTGTAAGACCGAATAAAGAGTTGATGATCTGAGTTCTGATAGAATGGACTCCTGGAGCCAACGATAAACCCGACTCAACGTGAACAGTATATAGAAGGGGCTCCTAATGTTAGAACCAGCCCTGGGCTGACCAAGCCTACGGCTATTGTAGTTGGACGTGGCTGTCAACCCCCAAGTTGGAATCCGTCGGCAGCTCCGCCCTCCATCCGTCTCCTCCGGCAATTTCAGCCTCTCATGGCCCATCGTCGCCATCTCCGACATGGGCTCCGAGTGAGTGTCCGTTCGGTCGTCCGATGCCGGTGAACTAATTATGCTTTTGGATGGAAGCGCGGCATGTGCGTGGTCGCCAATGAGCTCTGCCGCCTGTGTGCACTTCGTCTTCTTTCGTCTGAGCAACCACGTCAATACACCGAGAAGAGCGAGTGCGGCGATGCCTCCTATCACGCCGCCCACAATGGCGCCTTGTGTTGGATCACGAGCCATCTCAGTCTGAGGTTGACGGGGTTTCCTTCGGTGTGGCGACAGAGATCCTCTTGTCTTGAGAAAAATTAGTGACTTTTCCTAGTCATGGATATATCTGGGTAAATCCCGCCAAAAATTGACTTGGCAGTCTCGTCGTCCCACTGGACGCCATCAAGGTTCCTGCGCATCTTGTCAGTCGTCGTTCAACGGCCGCCGTGAAATGCATACCCATAGCTATACCACCGCTTCACCGGATCGGCAGCCTCATACTCCTCCGTCTCACCATTGTAGCCGCTTCTTCACTCGAGCTCCGTCATGTCAAGCACGCCCACCGACCACCGCCAGAGTTTAGGGGTCTCCCATTCCCACTCCTTCTCGACGCGTTGAACGGCGAGCATCTGGCCATTGTCGGCCGCAGCGCACCCATGATTCAGTCTCGCTGGAGCGCTGATGTTGGCCTTGAACCAGAGAAAGATGGCAACGAGAGAACATGGATATCCCTCAGAGTTTCGCCATCGGCGTCTCGTCCGCCGTAGACGAAGCTACGTAGTCAGCACAAACACCGCATTCAGGAACAGGATGCGGCATCATCTCGTAGGTGCAATCCTTTCTTTCTGCACCCGCAGTGCAGAAGTCCTCTCTTTCAGACGGCACATTCCCCGTCGCGGTCTGGTTATACCAATCTCTCTGTGCAGGGTCCCAGAACCAGAATGAGCTCATGGGCATGAACCCAGAGTCTGAGTTCACCCAACACCTATGAGAGGGGCTCGGCGTTGAAAGACTTCGTGCACTACGCTTCCATATTCCACACATGACCGTTCGGCTCGTCGAGGGGGAAAGTGGTGCTGTTGGTCCACGATCCGTCTTCCATGTCGTACATGAGGACACATGGGGTGGAAAAGTTGGGCCAGAAGGTTGAATCCGACGCATTACTCCCCAAGCCGCCAACATAGAATTCCAACCCGTGGCACGATGCTGAGATGCCGTTGCTGTTGCCCACGAGTCTGGTGCCATCGGCGTCCCCGGGTTTCGTGTCTGCCTCGTTCCACTGGTCGTCCGACTTTCGATCGAGGTCGAACTCAAAGAGGGCCACGTCGTCTTCCTCCATGATCCTGCCCTCGCTAATGGCACCGCCCCAGCGGTAGATCTTCTCCCCCGCACGGTAGCCCCGCAGCGCCTGCTTTTGATGTACGGGTCGAGGACGTCGTGAGTCTGCGGTGGGTACGCAGTCGCCATAGGGCGAGATCTTGGTGCTGTTGCTCCACAACTTGTCAATGAAACTGAGAAGGTCGAGGCAACAGTGAGAAGGCCGATTTAGCCTGGATGGTTGCTTGTATTATTGAGTTTGAGCACGTACGCTCTAACGATGTTGCGCCGTTGCTGTTTTGCCTCTCTCCGTCAATGTACTCTGACACACGACCTCCGTTGAGGTATGACTTGTTTCCTAATATGGCGACTACATGTCATCCTAACTTGGTCTTTTCCTTCGCTCAATTGAATAAGGCTCAATGCGAGGCCTGGGCATGCGTACTCTGCTGCATCGCTTGACGCCGATGCGCCGAGCCATCTGACTCGTCTGCCCGTGTTTCGCGTCCGCGCTACATGTTGCTAGGCCGCGAGCTTGGGAGAAGGCCCGAGGAGAATGACATAAATTGTCCTTATTACTTAGTTCAATATAGATAAGATTATGTACTCTCTTAAGGTTAAGAGCCATAGACTAGCTGTGCCTTGAGGGTCGATTCTATGAAGTACAACCTAGCAAGCGAACGCATGCGCCTCTCGAGTACACCCTAGTTTTGTTTCTCATTAAATACTATGCGCGACTAGGTATAGAGGTAACTTACAATCTTACCGTGAGCTTACCGAATAACTGCGCATAGCTCACTAGAGTATCGCGCTCCCGTTTCTCAATCTACCTACCCGGTAGCTAAGCCAAGGCCGAACGTCACACGGCAGGCCAGCACGTGCGCAATATCATCGAGGCATTGTGGGGAGACAAGGTATAGGGCGACATTTTCCGCAGGAACAACATAATTGGGAAGATGTCTCTCATTGCAAAGTGTCGATCCAAGGTCAACGGAAGCGGTATTTGGATAATGGGGGGCGTATTTCGCCCTATGACCCGATGACGCCAGCTCGTGATGGAGACACGCATCGGGGGAGCAACGTGTGCTTGGAAAACGGTAAACCGTAGGCTTTGTCACCGCAGGATAGACCAGTGGAGCGATGATATCCTGGAATACATGTGTATGGTCACCTCCCTACCAGCGGGCTGGTTTGCCCTCAGGTTTGGACTAGGGTTCTCCGCACGGCCAAAGCTGCGAGGCTGCTTCTCTTGGCATTCGCGTTTGTATGCCTGTATACACGAAGATCCGTCAAGCGCATTACTGACAAGGATTTGACCCAGCGCCCTGGGCTCGCCCGATGTGAAGTTCAGATCCGTTTGAAAGGGTAAGACACCATCATGGAGTCTTCGTTCATGAAGAGTCTTCGAGCATTATCCAACGGCTTGAGCTTGCAACAAATTTCCTATAATGGCTAGCCTCTCCGCAGTATGGGTAGTTTTTGGTCCTGGGCAGCCATAAATTGGCACACTATCGCTCGAAGTCATGTTCGCAGCAAATGCGGTCAATTCCGAAGACGTTAAAGAGCACTTCAAGGCTTTAACCTATGAGAAAGAAGTATGCAAGGATTGCTCAGAAAGACTTAATTGAGGTGTAGAAACCAGAATTTGATAATGAAGAGCATGCAAGGAGGTGCTCCGACTTGCAGCTCCTTAACAGACGTAGAGGCAGCGTCGCTCTACTAAAGAGGAGGCGACAAGAGCAGTAATTAAAAGGAGAAGAAGTACAGGATTTCCCAGCATTTTAATTACTATCGATAGGGTTAGACAGGAGACTGAGCAAAGCTAGTTGATCTATCAAGGCCAACTGACCCAAAGACTCTTATACGCCGGCTATGCCCTCTTCTTTGCCTTGACAAGTTTAGCCGGGATAGTCTAAAAGCAGTAGTGACGCCGCATAGCCGTAAGGCTATGTCTTCTTATACAGCAACTCTTGGCGGGTCCGTAGTCAGAAGGCTGCATTGTGATAGAACAGGGCGGTGTAACGTGAGTGAATTTATGTTGATGTTTGGCTCACTTAAAGTGTCGGCCGCTTGATATTAGCTAAAGGTCTAGATCGGCTTGAGAGAAATTTGCACTAGAATCATTACGGACAATAGTTCCCCGGTAAAGCGGAAAAAGTCATAGCGGAGATGTTGTTGGCTTGCCACCAACTCACGCGGAGTCCGCATGGCAGACTGCATATTGGAGAGGTAGGGTCATTCATCAGGAGGGGTATGTTACATTCTATCCCCTAAGTCGCCCCCATACCCATTTGCACCCTTGGATACCTCGGGCAGTGGTGGCTGCATAATATCCCACCCGTAGATAGGGCTTAGGCAGTCGTAGAGAATCAATTTTCAGTTCAATATTCGGTCACCACCTGTCACGAGTATCCGACCTCGGACTTGCCCTCGGATAGATACCTATTTCAGGTCATGGCTTGACATAACTACTATAGTATCTGCTAGATAAAGGGTAGCTTTAAACTAGAGCCTTTACCACTTCATTTCTTCCTTTTCTAGTACCTCCTATACTCCAGTAACTTAATAGCTAGCCGCACCTGTCTTGATGGCTTCTGGTCCGTTAACGCAATTGTTATCTTTGTCCACACACCCCGTGCCGCAACACTACCTTATCTGGCAATTCCTTGCGCCATGAGCCTGCAGTGTCAGCAATGCAACGTCGACGGTATTGAGCGCATTAGACTGGCGAACAGGGTCGCGACCCGTGGGAATCAGCACAGCCCTCAGGGTTCAATTCCCAAGGGCAGTACTGAGTTCTCTGTTTTTGCGACTATTCTACTCCAACAGATCAGTTGCCAACAACATTTTTCAAAAGGTACATATACATATTAAAGGTGCGGGGTCCAGGTTGTGCCTGCAGGAACTCAATCCTTGTGGACTGCGTGGCTTGGGTTACGTTCGATTACACTGTCTATGTCTGAGCCCCGGCTACTCGTGTCGCGCCCCACCTCTAATAAGGTGGTGGGGCGCGACACGGGTACGACTGTACGACTTACGCAAAGGGCGCACAATCAAGGATGGATGCCAATCCAACGTCAGCAACCATACTTCCGGAACACCGCCCGAATCAACAGGCTTTCATCCAGGAAATGCAAAATACAAGCCATTGAACGCCGCGATTCTCTCTTATAAAATGTGTACTGTGGCTGCCTGCTGACAAGGTCATTCTTTCGTCACCTTGGATCCGCGCGGCCCGTCCCGTCAGCCAAGCGCGTAAAACCTGGCACTCCCCCCTCAGAGCCACATGAAAGTTTGGAGACTCCTCTTTCCAGAAGGAATTGGGTTTTGCGTGTCAAAGCACAGGACACCAGGGACATGAACGCCCATGCGCGAACCATCAACCGGATGCGACCATCGCTGGCATGCGTCCCTTGTAAACGCAAAAAGGTACGTCACACAAGCAACACGGCAGTTGAAGCAAGCAAGCCAGGAACCAACTTCCCTCTTTGTCTTTACCGAACGAATGGAACAAGGAAACTAATTCGTGGAACGGGTCAGGTGAAATGCGAGAAGCAGAAACCGGAGTGCGCACAATGCAAGCGGACCACTACGTCTTGTGTTTACGATAATCCCGGGGCGGACCCGCTTGCCAAGCGCCAGGGAACAGTGAGCAGAACACGAACCGAGGGGCATCTCTCCAAGCTTACGGGCATGACGACGATCAACCAGAGCAATGGGCAACGGCAGAGGGAGCAGCCGTCACCGCCGCCGCCGCCGCCGCAGCAGTTGAGCCCTCTCAGTCATTCTATGGAGTGGGTGGACTTCTCAGAAACACGAGACATCGGCATAGCTCCACCTCAGTTCGATGATGCAATGAATTTCCTGGAAGCCGATGGCCGCATACTTACCCCGTACATGATCACCATGGAGGGGTTCGACCCACCCAGGGACCTGAGCGACATCTTGCGGGCCGAATCCCGGAGCATGGAGCTCGATCGCGCAATCACCAGTCAGCGAGACTCAGACTCAGCCCCCATGGCATCGCGGACAACGGGGACGACGGGGCCAGACAGCGAACAGCACTACTACCAAGCCCCAAGGAAGAACAATCACCATTATTCGCAGCGGGCGAACCCGAAGCAAGACAGGCCCCATCCCGGAAACCAAGGTAGCTGGGGGAGCACGACTGGCACGAGGACCTCTGCCGACAGCAGCTCCGATCCCACTCCCGAAGACTCGGACCATGAAGCGCACAGCATTGAGATGGACGACTGGGAGTCGAAGCCGTGGCGGTATAACCCAGTGGAAGCCGGACACCTGCGGATGTCCGGCTTTCCCAGCGAGGGGAAACTATACCAAGGGAATTACTTCGCCGCGCCGTTTTGGCTGTGGTCCTGCAAGCAGGTGAGTGGCGACATCTTGAAAAGGCCAATCCTGGTATAAGGAAGAAGAATGCTGACAATTTGGCAGGAATCCGACGCCATGCTCGTGATGCACAGCCTCTTTTCTGCACGCCAGATCAAATACTCCCAACACCGTCGTCAGTTCAGTTTGGCAAGATTCGTAGGATGTCTCCCTTCCAAAAGAATGTGCGACGTGCTCCTACGCGCGTTCCTGGTCGGCGTCCGCCCGCTCCTCCCGCTGCTGTCCGTGTCGAACCTCGAAGCGCGGTATCATGCCTTCTGGGCGCAGAAGGATGCTCTCAGCGACACCGCCAACGGCGTAAAGGCAAACGATAACGAACTTTCCTTTGTCTGCTTGCTCTGGTGCGTGCTCTTTGGAGGCGCCGTGTCCGCGTCGCCTGCCGCGCTCTCCGATGTGTCCTTTCGCGTGGTAGACCGGATGGCGTTCAAAAAGCACATGGGTGCGAAGGCAAAGGATGCCATCCAAGCGGCCTGTGGAAGAGACCTGCAGTTCCCCTCGCTTGACGGGCTCGTGGCGTCGCTGATTCTCTACCACTGCGACTGGACCATGGACCCAATGGTGGAGGAGCCACCCTTCATCGCCCGCTGCTTCCAGGCCGCCTGCAGGCTGGGTCTACACCGCGAGGCGGCTTTGATCGCCATGCCCTCGTGCGACGCCGAGATTGGCCGACGCGTGTGGTACACCCTGCTCGAGATGGACGTCGTGTCATCGATCCGCTGCGGCCTGTCGCTGTCGCACTGCGGCATGGAGTCCTCGTTTGACACGCGCGAGCCGCGTAACGGGCCCGACGACTTGGCGTCGACTATCACCGCGGCGCAGTGTCGCATGACGCACGTCCTGCGCCGGATTCTGGAGCGGTCGCGGGGCGGCGATGGCTCCGCGCGCCCGGACAGCGACCTGGCGGCCGCGATAGAGCAGTTTGACAGCTTCGTCGATGAAGCAGCGGCCCAGCTTCCCGTCCGCGGCCTGCCGGAGCGGGGACAGATCTCCTCGCAGCTCCTGGGGGCGAACCCGCTGACACATGCGGAATTGTACCTCGAAAACACCCGCGAGGCCACCGTGTTGAACGCCTTCTGCCGGATCAGGCTGAGAATGATGAAATACACCGTGTCCATTGCATTCAACCGTATGTTCTTGGACAAGACACCGCGGGAAGGGGAGGCGGCCAGACTAATGAGTTGGTAAGTTTTTTTTTTCCTTTTCCCTTTTCTTTTCTTTTCTTTTCTTCTTTCTTTTCTGTCCCCGTCTGTGCGTGTGGTCCCCACACTCGTTTTACGGGGGTTCCTGAGACTAACATGCCAAAAATCAGTCAAATAACGAATTGCGTCCAATTCCTGCGCAATTACTTGCATCTCGCTGGATTGCCAGCCTTTGCGCCCTACCAATGGTACTGCCCGGGCCGGCTCAACGCGTGGCAAGAGTGTATGGTTGTTCTCTCATTCCTCCGGAGCAACTCGCGGATAGGACGGTCACGACAGCTCCTTTTACATATCCTGAGCGATATGTTCGACATGTCTGACATGTTAGCAAGCCGGGAACTAAATGGTCTTCAAGGGAAAGTGGAATCTGGGTGCCCATGGGGAGAGACGTGGGCGGGCATGCGTCGGCTGTACGAGCAGGTGCGGAGCGGAGTACAGGACCCGAACGACTACGAAAACGTCGCACAGCTTGGCGCGGAGACGCGCTTGTGGTTCTCGTCCGACTGGGACGACCAGTCTGGGACTTTTGAGGCGGAGAGTGGGTGATTCTCGGACTAAAAAGCGCAGGACCAACAGGACAAGGAGCCATACAAATCTCCACCATCGTGGAGGTACAAGGCACAGCGGACTATAATGTCCGCAGAGGGCTCCACGCAGGGCCTGGAGGGGCTGGTCCCGGACGATAGAGGTTCAAGACCGCAAGCCGCGCTCTCGAGACGGTGCGCGCACGGCTAATGCGATGGTCTCTCTGCAGAGTTGCATTGACAAGGACATGGTGGCATCGCCACGAATGTCGCGGAGCTTGCGTTCGTGCCCTACATCGCTCAACGCTGCCAGGGGCGTGACAGGTCGCGGAGATCTAGGTAACTGGATTGATGGTATAGAGATGGAGTGATTTAAGATTGAGTGATTTAGAATTACACACGCAACCTACGTTGCCATTATCATCCATTATCAATAAGGCTTGTGACTGGAAAATTGCCCACTTTTGGCTAGAAAGCTGGTATATTTACTACGTAACCGTCTTTTTCACGATCAGGACCTACTCATACAGATAGGCCCTTGTTCTGAGAAAAGGTACCTATGTAGGTTGCCAAGGACGGCCCTCGGGCAAGCGGACAGGCTTTCGCGGGATTGGGCGCGAGAGCTGCTGTGACGGCATGTAGGGAGGGTGTTGGAACGCGGGCGTGACCCCGGTTCGCGGCGACAGTCGATCTTTTGGTCCGGTAAGTTTCTGTGCATGCTCTCCGGGCTCTCTGACATTCTTCTTCTATATTCAATATCACTAAATCTTACGACCTTTTTCATTCTTCCTCCCGACAGCCTCCTCCTTGGCCTCTTGCGCAACCTTGGATTCGTAATTCTTCACCATATAGTATGTAAGAATGTAGAGAATGTCAATCAAGGTTGCTGCCGCCATGTAGAACAGGGAAATCGGTCCAGCAGCATAACCAAATCTCTCGGGCCACTCGACTGCCCGATACAGAAAGCAAGCGTTGGCAGCCAAGGTCCCGACGGCGCGTGTCCACCTGCGATGCAAGTCAGTCTCGTGTCTACCACGTGTGCAAGTCAAAAACATGTTACCAGATGTGCAATGAGTGGCCTCGCGTATGATGCCTCGATGCAAGCTGCATCACGCCGCCTAGGCTAAGGATGATCTGCACGGGCCCCGTGCCATACCACACGATTTGTCGCCCGATGACGGGGATGAGCTCGCTCGCAAAGGCCATCTGCAACCAAAAGGCGACGGGTGTGCCGAGGAAGACGATGATGGCACCTAGATTGTTCGCCACCATGGGGGCATGGCGCCACTCGTGCTTTCCATATCGCAATGTGGCAATGAAGAGGAACACGTCAATAATGGCCCAGCCGGCAAAGATGATGGTGTTGAAGGGGTCGGGAGGGTAGATGAAGCCGTAGATGAACTCGCACGTGATGTTGAGACAGAGTGCGAAGATGGGCATGCCGTAAGAGCGATCGCGGAAGGCACGCAGCGTGAGCAAGACGTACGACGCCGACCAGAGGATCCCGCAGATGGCAGAGAAGGCGTTGCTGATGGGCATGACATGGCCATTCGGCGGCGTCAGGGCCATGGCCTGGACACGGAGCTCGTCCCATAGCTCCCTGTGGATTTTGGGAATGCCGGCTCTGAGAACAGTGGTGTAGCTCATGGTGGAGTGCGTAGAGCAGATGCAGCGTCGTCAAAGAGCTCGAGATGGCCTCGGGGAATGAGACTGACTCGCAGTGTATACTAGGACAAAGGTGAACTATGACATGTAGGTAGCTGGCGGTTTTCTTTATTTATTTCCATCTTCCTCTTCTTGCTATGCTTTGGATGATCAATCTAGGAGATGCAAAGGACGTACGGAGTAATGCCGACGTACGATGACTGGGTTGTGAGCCCCGCCCTTTTTGACTCCCGGGGCCCGGGCCGGGCCCGAGGGATCCGCCCAAGACTCTAGATCCGATCCCGCCATACACTAGATAGGAATGTGCATAGAAGATGGCACTAATGCAGCCTTCTCGGCCGACAAGATCCTGCAGAACATCGCTGTGGGGCCAACTTTCATGTACAGGCACTCCCTCCCTTCTAAGAACGGCCGAGAGCCTGCCACAGGGCGCGCGCAGGATTCAAGGGATACGCATCCGCCAGCTCCTTGCAGGCTACGACCGAGGCACGCCAGCCGTCCTGGTCCCAGCCGTCGAGGCGGTGTGCAGCCGCCAGCGGGGCGACCTTGAGCGTTGGGAAGCACCACAACCACCAGGCCGCCACATACGCGTAGCCAAACAGCCGCCGGAGGAGGGTCGGGTTGCCGTCGTCGGGCACGCCCAGGGCCATGAACAAGGTGTCTTCGACGAGTATGAAGGCGGGCTGCGCGAGGAAGTACACCATGGCGCCGCCGTCGGACCAGCCCTCGGGGAAGTCGCGCGTGACCATGTACGAGCCCACGGCGTGGATGAAGCCCGAGACGGCAAAGGACAGGAAAAGGAGCCCGTAGCGCCGCACGAGCCGGGCCACCCTGTTCTTGGGGTTTCTCAGCATGGGGATCTCCTGCTGAAGGAAGAGGCCTGGTGCGTCGGTCGTCCGTCGAAGCATCATGTGCCAGTACTTGCCCCAGTACCTCCGGAGCGAGTAGGCCTCGCTCATGCTGTTGAACATGGGCGGCCACAGCTTTGGGTCCGACCAGCGGCCAAACACGCCCGTGGACACGGTGACGATGGAAATGACATTCTCGGGCAGCGCCACGTGCCCGTACACCACCATCAGCCATCCCACCGTCACGTAGGCACGTAGGACCAAGGGCTGTCGCAGCACGGCCGCCAGGCCGCTCGCTATCGTGCCCTCGCTCTCGCTCTGGTCCAGCGTGAGAATGACATCAGCCGCCACCGACACCAAGTGCACAATCAGCAAGGTGCACAGTGAGCGGAACACGCGGTTGGCCACAAAGCCCCAACGCGTCGTGTAGTCCGGCCGCGGCAACGCCCCGACCTGCCAGCTCCACCCAACGCCGCGCTGCGAGGTGATCATCTCAAATGCCCAGTTGAGCTTGCGCAGTGGACCGTACGTCTCGGGGCCATGGGGACCGTCATCGACACCGTGGCGGAGAAGGGACCTTTCCGGATCGCGCACCATGTACACGCGGTCCATGATGCGCGCGGCCCAGCCGGCGATGAGCAGGCCGGCCGAGTAGAGGTCTGCCTGCGGCGCGCCCGGTGGAAGCGGTGCGACAAAGGCACACGCGATGAGGCCGAGCTGTACAGGGTAGAGTGCGCGGCGGAAGAGTGAGCCAGCCGGGAAGAGGAAAATGATGGTGGTGAGCAGGAGTGCGCAGATAATAAACTGAGGTGCGACGAGGCCTGTCGAGCCTGTCGAGTCCTGGAGCACGCGTAGCAACGACGACGGCGGTGCGGTGGCCGTCGCCGACGAGTTGATGGGAACGGCCATGTCTGATGGCCCCGAGTATCGTAGACAGTACTCCGTAGTATGGTTGTGAATCTTGGGCTCTTGGAATCTGGCACTCTATGCCTGTTCCAAACTCACACGTAGCATGTCTGCACTTTATACCACACCCAGCCCGAGCGTCCACATTGGCATTTTATCTTTGCTGTCCTAGTTTAGCATGATATCCCGTAACATGCACCGAACAGCCGCCCGCGCGCTTCGCTCCCTCTTTCGGCCGAACATGCTGCTTGCATGCCGAATCTACATCTGACGAAAATAATGTGTCCTTCTAGTGTATCCGTACTCCGTACTCCGTACAAGTTGAACCAACATTGCATAGGGCTCTGACCAAAGGGGGTCTTTCGGTTCTTCCATTGCGTGCATCACAGTTTCCAAGCCAAATCGTTGACATGATGTTTGAGACGCTCATGCAAAGCAACACGGGTACTGGTGTGGTAGTGGTGGTCCTTGCTTTCGCGGTCTACCATCTCGTGAGGGCAATCTACCTCATCTACATCAGCCCTCTCTCTGTCTTTCCCGGCTCGCCATGGGCCGCTCTCGGCGAATAGTGAGTGTCTACCCTCACCATCACCGCCTCGTTACTAACCTTGGTCTCATTGTAGCTGGGAGGCATGGCACAACATCGGCTCGAGCCCAGGCAAGCGCGGCCAGACGCTCTTCCTCCTGGAGAAGATGCATCGGGACCCGAAATATGGTGAGATTTACTCGTCTTGCTTGACCTTGCATTGAACAACGCCAGCTGAACAGTTGCCAGGCTCGGCGATCCGCATGGGGCCCAACGAAGTGCACGTCTACGACCCGCGCTTCTTTCACCAGCTCTACTCGCTCAACACGAGCTTCTACAAGGACGAGTCCATGCACAAGGTCCTCGGCGCGCCCGCCTCCACCCTCGCCGAGACGGACCCCGTCAAGCATAGGGCGCGGCGCCAGCCCCTCGAGTCCCTCTTTTCCCGCCAGTCCATCCTGCGGCTCGAGCCGACTGTGCTCTCCAAGATCGACTTTGCCTGCCAGCGCTTCGACGAGCTCTACAAGGCCGGAAAGCCCGTCCGCGCCGAGTGGGCTCTCAAGTCGCTGAGCTTCGACATTGTCAGCGAGTTCTGCTTCGGCTCGGGCCTGGGGGCACTGCATGACGACGACTTCACCAGCGACCCGGTGCGCGTGTTCCGCGCGTACCTGCACAGTCTGCACATCATCAAGGCGTTCCCGCTCGTCCGCACCGTCTCGCAGTCCCTGCCGCTGTGGCTCGCCCGTGTCTTGTCCAAGACGGTGGCACGCGCCAAGGAGCTCGAAATCCTCGTCCGCGGGCGTGTCGACGCGTTTGTCGACGCGTACGAGAACGGGGAGAAGCCCCCGTTCCCCACGGCCATGGAGAGGCTGCTGCAGGCCGGCGAGGACCTCAAAGCGCCTGGCGCCGCGGATATCCCCCTGTCGCGGGACTACCTGCGCGACGAGGTGCTCACCATGATCTCGGCCGGTACCGACACGACGGGCATCTCGACGCTCGTGGCGCTGTACTACACTGTGGCCAACAAGGACATCCAGGCACGGCTGCTGGCGGAGCTCAAGACGGTCATGCCCGGCCCCGATGATGCAGCCTGCTTTCAGGTTCTGGAGAAGCTGCCGTACCTGACGGCTGTCATCAAGGAAGGGCTGCGCGTTGCCAGTCCCGCTGCCAGTCGCACGCCGAGACTCGTGCCCAGGGGGGGCACGACGTTGCCGGACGGCCGCTTCCTCCCCGGGGGGACGCGCGTGGGCATGGCCATCTACCACGTGCACTACAATGAGGATATCTTCCCGGAGCCCAAAAGGTTCATGCCGTACGTTTCCCCACCGCAGCAGCTTCCCTATCGAGCGTCCAAACTGACCCATGATTCTCTCCCAGTGAGCGTTGGCTCGACGCCGACAACGGCGGCACGATGCCCGAGCGTGTCCCGGAGATGCAGCGCTTCATGGTGGCCTTTAGCAAGGGCACTCGCGCGTGCATCGGCATCAACCTCGCGTACATGGAGCTTTACCTTGCCGTGGCGCATTTCATCCGCCGCTTCGACATGCAGACGGACACGACGGCCGAGGACATGAAGTGGGATGATATGGTGGTTGCGTGGTTCCATGGCGATTTCACGTTTATGGCGCGGAGAAGGACGGAGTGAGCAAGTTGGAGGGAGTCAATAGAGAGCGAGGGCTCATGCGGGATGTTTATCGTGGAGCTATTTCAATGCTAGAGCCAATGCCAGAGGTCCGGACAGGGTCTGGATGAGTTTGTTCACAAGGTAATCACTACGCGGCGACATATGTGCTCAAGGCCGGGTCCATCTTGGCCAGATCCATCACAGTCTCGTTCCAAAGGTCGTCTGTGAACTTGTTCCCCTCGGGCGTATCCAGAATCGCTGCGCCCCTACAGGCGATGAGCATGGTCAGCAAGCATGATCGAAACGTGTACAGACGGAACCACGTACGGATGCACCTGGTTGTTGTTCAGGAAGGTCCCGTGCGCCTCCTTGCCCACCACCACGGCCGCGTATACCAGGGCCCTCGCGGCGTCCGGTATGCTCCTCCCAATCAGCTGGCGGACGCATTGCATCAAGACTTGCATGGCGGGGTTCAGGTTCCTGTCCAACCCCTTGTTGCGCACGAGCCCGGGGCAGAAGTCATTGACGATGACCTCGTCGGCGGACACGAGCTGCGCCAGCTTGCGGCAGTAGGCGCTCACGCAGAGCTTGGTGTCGGCGTACCGGAACAGGCTGCTGAAGTGCTTGGGGTCGTCCCAATGGCCCAGCACCGACTCGCCGGGTCCGATGGGCGCCTTGGTGAGCGTCTCCTGGAAGACCTGCGTGATGGAGCCCGTGAAGGTGACGCGCGACGGGGCGCCTCGCAGCCTGGCCGTCGCGCGGAGGAGGGGCAAGAGCTCCAGCGTGATGAGCATGTGCGTATAGCAGTTGACTAGACACGCACTTGTTAGCAGTCCTATGCGAACAGAACGATGCGTCCATCGCCCGACCTTGCATGTTCTTCTCGTGACCTGTTGGCGCGGTTTCGAATCGGAGCTCGACCTGGCCGCCGTTGTTGATGAGGATATCCAGCTCGGGCACTTCCTTGTTGACCCTCTGGGCAAACCCGAGCCCCGAGGCGTAGTCGGCCAGATCGAGCTGGAAGACCAGCAGCTGGGCCGCCGGGTTCTGGCGCGCCACGTCCCCGTCAGCGCGGAGTGCGGAGACGGCCAGCTGGCCGTTGGACACGGTACGGCTGGCCACGATGAGGCGCGAGACCCCGAGCAGCAGCAGCTGGCGGCAGGCCTCGAAGCCGATGCCAGCGTTGCCTCCCGTGACGATGACGGTCTGGCCAACCAAGGTAGTGCCGCTGGGCGTAGGGGGAATGGCGGGTTGGACGATACCCATGGTGGCTTGCATGTAGCCGTGTAACTTGGCTGGGTTACTGGTGCCGCTGCGGAGGGTACTTGTAGGAGCATGACACTCGGGACTCTTGGGATGCATTCAAATGATGTCCATTCTTTTCTTCTATCAACCCCCCAGGATTACGTCGCCGGCACACATACATACAGCCTCGGCAGCTTCTGGATCACAATACAACTTGGCTCTCCCCCCATGTGTTTGGACAAGCAAAGACGCTCACGATACACCGGAGCGGGCTAGAGAGGAGCGAGACGATGGGGGAATCCGAAATGGACATGATGGATGCGCGACCACAACCGCGTGCACGTTTCGTTTGTGCTTGTTCTCGGCCGACCGTCGTCATCGTCATCGTAATCTCTCTCCTTTTGCCTCAAGCACGGTACCGGGTCTAGAACCGTGGTGTGCGCTGCAGTCATGGTGACGGGGGTGCATTATCCCCCTGGCCTAGCCGCATGCATGCGGCCCGTGTGGGCGCGGGCGGATGCAGGCTGGCGGGGCCTCCAGGGTCCAAGTCCGCTAATCCGCCTGATCGCCCGCCATGGATCAATAGGCTAAAAGTGGAGTCCGCTCGCTAGTCCGCACCCTAGTCTAGTCTAGTCTAGTCGATGCAGCCGCAACTCCGCCAATTCCGCAGGTTGGACCTACGGTAGAGTGAGTCCCCGTCATTGCTTCCTTGCTCCACGCACGTCCTGACCTAAATGCATTCAATCAAGGGCCTTTTTTCTCTCTTCTACAAATCCCTTGACCGTCCAGCACCGCACCCTCGACGCTCTTGACGAGAAAACCAAGACAAGAACAAGCGACAACATGGAAGCTAAGAGGGATCCAGTCAAGGTTGACGCCGAAACGGTGCCGCCCACGTCGACGCCGTCGGGGCTCCCGGACCAAGGAGAGGCGGAAAAGGCTGCTGTGGATGCAGAGCCAGACGTCGACCCCAACGAGTATCCCACCGGCCTTCGCCTGGTGGCCGTCATCGTGGCCTTGGTCCTCTGCGTCTTCCTCATGCCGCTCGACACGGTACGCACCGCTCCTACCATTTTGACCCCTTCCTCTAACTCGTATGCCAGACCATCCTCGCCACGGCCATTCCGAGCATCACAGCCGACTTTGGTCTGGCGGATGTCTCGTGGTATGCCTCCGTCTTCTTCTTCGTCGTCGCCGGCTTTCAGTCGTCCTGGGGCAAGGCCTTCCGCTACTTCCCCCTGAAGCCAGCTCTGATCCTCTCCTTGATCATCTTTGAGCTCGGGAGCATCGTCGCCGCCACCGCCCAGTCATCCGTCGCCCTGATCATCGGCCGCGCCGTCACTGGTCTTGGCGCGGCCGGCATGTCCTCGGGCGCTTTCCTCGTCGCCGGACTCATTGGCCCGCCCCGAAAGCGCCCCATTTACATCGGCATCATTGGCGTCTCGGCCTCCATCGGCGCCGTCAGCGGGCCCTTGATTGGTGGAGCGCTGACCACCGGCCTGAGCTGGCGGTGGTGCTTCTGGATCAACCTTCCTCTGGGCGGCGCCGCGGCTCTCTTCCTGCTCTTCTTCTTCCGCACCCCGCCGTCGTGGAAGCCCAAGCAGGAGACCTTTGCCAAGAAGCTGTGGCATTTGGACCCCGTCGGCGTTGCGCTCGTCATGGGCCTCAGCATCGCCTACACCCTGGCTTTGCAATATGCCGGCAACGGCGCGAGCTGGGGCTCTGGCAAGGTCGCGGGCCTCCTTGTCGCGTTCGTCGCCATCTCGGTTGTCTTTGGCTTGTGGGAGTGGTATCAAGGCGACAATGCCATGGTCCCCGGCCACATCGCCCGCCAACGGGATCTTGCCGTCGGTTGCGTCGTCACCTTCTTCCTGTCCGGAGGCTTCTTCATCTCCGAGTACTACCTGCCCATCTACTTCCAAGCCATCGACGGAGACAGCGCGCTGCAGTCCGGTGTCAACTACCTGCCCACCATCATTGCCAGTGGCGTCGCCATCTTGGTCTTTGGCGGCATCATGTCTGTCACGGGTGTCGTGACGCCCTATCTCCACGCCTCGGGCGTCATCTCCGTCATTGCCGCCGGCCTCTTGTACATGCTCGACCTCGACACCCCCACGGCCCGTTGGATCGGCTATCAGATCCTCTGGGGTTTCGGCAGCGGTCTGGGAATGAACATCCCCATCCTGGTTGGCCAAGATCGCGTCGACCCGGCCGACATGTCGGTCGCCACGTCACTCATCCTCCTGTTCCAGACGCTTGGCGGCTCTTTCTTGGTCAGCGCGGCCAACGCCGGGTTCTCCAGTACTCTGCGCCAGAGCCTCGTGACGGAAGCACCCACCTTGTCCCCCGAGGATGTCGTTGCTGCTGGTGCCTATGATCTGAAGAGCCACTTTGGTGGCGACGGGCTGCATGGAGTTCGAGTGTCGTACATGGATGCGCTGCAGGTGGTGTTCGCGGTCATGATTGCCTCGAGAGGCGTGAGCTTCTTGGTAGGCCTGGGTATGTCGTGGAAGAAATTGGATGCCGAGAAGATGAAGAACCCGGGACACCCAGTCTAGTCGACCAAGGCGGAATGTGCGAGGGGGGAGGGTGGAGAGGTGAACTCGTGGCAGACAGAGGCTACTGTGTGGACCAAGTTTAATAATTGCGGGCTTAGCACACCCCAAGACTAGATAGATACCAAGACTGGCTTTTATTTTGTACCATTCCTACTCGCCATCGTCACTGTCGGTGCGGTGAAGGTGCCTCCCCCGATGATGGATCGCTGTGACAGGGTCCGGTGCAATGCCGCCGCTTGTGCCTGTCCTAGTTATGGCAGAGATCCATAGCTAGGACAGGCACAAGCGGCCGGCAGCCCAAGGCATTGTCCGGGGGTACTGTCGGCCGGCAGAGACGGCTGGGCGGATCCTTATGCTTTGTACCCGCCGGAGCAGTCGATGTGCCATAAAAGCAAGCTGCCCGCCCTCGAGACAATACTCAATCAGTCAACGAGAAGAACGAGCCGGGAAAGACATGAGGCGAATTGACGTGCACCATCATTTTATCCCCCAGGCGTATCGCGATGGTATGTAACATCAAGCCGCACAATGAAGGCGTCGCATTGACCCCTATAGCCTTCACCAGCTCCGCCGACGGCGACCTCTCGGGCTGGTTGTTGCCGGAATGGACCGTGAAGTCGACGGTAGCCCTGATGGAGAAACACCGCATTGGCACCGCCATGCTCTCCATCACCTCGCCCGGCACCTCCGTCTTGGACCATGACTTGCCGCGCGCAAACACCCTCTGTCGCGCCATGAATGAATCGGCAGCCGCCTTGCGGGACGCGGATCCACACAAGTTTGGCTTGTTGGCTTCGCTCCCGCCTGTCACGGTGACAAACATGGCTGCCGTTCTCCAAGAGGTGACGCATGCCTTTGACGTGCTGCACGCCGATGGCGTGACGCTGTTCACGCGCTACGGGCCTCACTACCTCGGCCATGAGACCTTTCGCCCGCTCTGGGCCGAGCTGGATCGCCGGAACGCCGTCGTCTTCATCCACCCGACGCACTCGGTAGGCCACGACACCATCTCCTCGGCAGCACCCCAGCCGCTCATCGACTACCCGCACGAGACGACGCGAACCGCGGTGGACATGATACAGCAAGGCGTCGTCGTCGACTTTCCAGCAGTCAAGGTGATCCTATCCCACGCCGGTGGCACGCTACCGTACCTCGCCATGCGTGCGGCGCATCTGGCGGTCGACGCGCGGTTCAGCACGCTCCCGGCCGACGACTTCCTCGCGCGCGCAAGAACCTTCTACTTTGACCTCGCGTTGTCCAGCAACCCGCGCCAGCTGGATCTGGTGCTGGCATTTGCCAAGCCGGGTCACGTCTTGTACGGCAGCGACTTTCCATATGCTCCGTCAAAGACGATTGGGACATTTGTCGAGGCGCTGGATGCGTACGAGGAGAAGCTAGATGAGGAGACAAGGTACTCCATCACGCGAGGAGGGGCGCTGCAGTTGTTTCCTCGATTGCGGGTCCAAGGGGATGCATCATGCTGGGAATAGGCTTTAGGGTTACACAAGTAGACAGCTTGGAAATTACACCTCTAGTAAAAGGTGAAGCATCGTCCATTCAGTTTCTTTGTGAGGAGGCGTGAGCCTCGCCGTCTTGTCGCCATGCCACGTCTCTATAGTGCGTTTGCCAGAATCCTACATCAAGCTATACCGGAAGAATGCAGCTTACTAAAGGAAGCATCAGAGTCTCTTAGCCGGTCGGACCAGTCAGTGTCGGGGGGGGGGGGGGGGGGGGGGGGGGGGGGGGGGGGGGGGGGGGGGGGGGGGGGGGGGGGGGGGGGGGGGGGGG